AGTTGCAGCAATCGCATAGCCTACAAAAGTACATGCCAATTGTTTTATTTTTATTTCTTGGTCGCTAATGACAACTAATTTTCAAGGGAATTTCTTTTTTCCCCTTTAAAGATACAGGAGAACTCGCCTGCAGAGAGAGCCGGTTTAGAGCCGTTTTTCGACTTCATAATATCAATTGGGAATACCAGACTGGTATGTGAAACAGCGTATTGTCCTTTGTTATAGTTACAAAATGTTCTAGCGTCTGCTGTTGCATATTATGGATTAAAGAATGTATACAGGATAAAGGCTAACTGCTTTGAGTCCCACCATGACAAAATTACTAGGTAGAATTTAATATCTTCTGAGAGGTGGACTTCTGGAGTGTGAAGGTTTCCTTCTTCATAATCCATTCCTTCAGAGGAATGGGACTCGAGGCACGCCCCCCTCCCCCCTGAGGCTTGTGGAAATAGGCTTCCTTAATTCTGGATGAACTGGGGCTCCTTTTATAGAATCATGAGAACGACATGCTGAAGGACCTGCTGAAGGCCAACGTGGAGAAGCCGATGAAGATGGAGGTCTACAGCATTAAGACCACCAGGGTCCGCGAGCTGGAGGTGGTGCCCAGTAACATGTGGGGCGGCCAGGGCCTGCTTGGGGCCAGCGTCCGCTTCTGCAGTTTCCAGGGAGCCAATGAAAACGTGTGGCACGTCCTGGTGAGTCAGGACGTCATGACGCTGTTCTCCTACGATGTAACCTGACCCTCATGTAGCTGGTGCACAAACAAGCCAAAGTGGATCCTTGGAATCATATCTACTTGGCCTGTTTGATGAATGCACTAAGAAAGCAGTGGGTTAAAGGCATCGGGCTGAACAGATTGCATTCTCTACCTCCAAAGGACGTGGAAGCGAATTCCCCAGCTGCCCTGGCAGGGTTTCAGGCCTACACAGACTACATCGTTGGAGCCGACCAGGTCTTGCAGGACGTAAGAGCGATTTTGCTTGATTCGCAAACTGTATGAGATTTTTGCTCTTCCAGCACACCTGAACCAATCAATCCAGAGCACCGAATACCTGGTACAGGTGTGTTGGCCGCTGAGGGAGCAAAAATGTGGACCATCTGGGGGCCCCTGAAGGCCAGGTTGACAAACATTGTTTCAGAGCAAGTTGCACCTGCAAGGCCTTTTCCTTAGATGACACGCAGAGCATCGAGTCATTGCTTTGCCCCTCTTTTTAAATTACTTGACGTGCCCTCTTTCTGGGGCTGGTTTCAGGGGGAGCTGTGGTTCTGACAGTCCATCACAGCTTAGCCACATTAGATTGTATGTCAAAATTTGGCAGTTCAATGGGTGCGGTTCATGGAACAGAAACTGGTTTGTTTTAGTAACACTCAGCAGTTTTGTCCACCATTTTGTTAAGTACCTAATTTTCCCAAAATTTCCTATAAACTGATTTGTTCTTTGCATGATAACCACAATGGTTGTACTGGTCTTTTTTATGATTATTTTCAGCACAGAATTTTTATCTTGAAGTGTCTGCTGTTAGCCTATGAAGTTTTTTTTTTGTACATGCACATACAATCGCAGCTTGGTTGCCATGATGTCACTGGTTAATTCCATTGAAATCCCTGCATTTAAGAGCCTGGTCACCATCTCACGTCTGTCGCCCCCTACAGTCCGAGGACTTCTTCTCCCTTGTCAAGTTCTATGAGGGGAAAGCCCTGAAGCTGTTGGTGTACAGCACGGAGACAGACTGCTGCAGGGAGGTAGTGGTCACACCCAATGGAGCCTGGGGTGGAGAGGGAAGGTATGCCCCCACCCTCGTGGCCTCTGCAGGGGGTCAGTACCGCCCCATGTGGTTGCCCCGAGAGGACGCTATGACGAGGTCGATCTCTCCAGTCTAGGGTGCGGGATTGGGTACGGATACTTACATCGCATTCCGGGCCATCCTGGTGCTGCGAATACCAGGAAATCCACTCCTACCCCACCCCCTCCTCCTGCTTTTGAAGGAAACTCCTCCATGGATCTGTCCCCCAGTGGATATACTGAGGTATAACGCCCTCTGCTTTTGAGTGTCACATGACCACTTCACTCATTGGCACGCTGGCTTTTTCCAGCTAGACTCTTGGCCCAAAGCTTGGTTCTCCCTCGCTCACTCTCTCTCTCTCTCTCTCTCTCTCTCTCTTCTCCTCCAGGTTTCCCTGATGGATGCCCAGGTGCCAGGGGTGCCAGGCCTGGAGCAAATGGGCTTCCCCGAGGGTATCCTGGATGCCCATATGCCACCCCCACTTCAGAGCATCATGGATCCAGGTGCATTGTATTCAGGAAGCCATCTGCTCAGGACACCTTTCTGTGACATTTCTTTCACTTAGTAGAAACAGAAATGTTCTTTTTGGGGTTCCAAACAAAAGCCATGGTCATTTTGTAAGCGCTTCCACCAGACGATATTTGTACTAAAGTTATTTATTGTTCCAAACTAAACCATGAATCAAACAGCCATGTAAATTCAACTGATCTTGTAACAAAACAAAAATGATTTCAAAATGACCGATCAAAGTGATATAAAGTGAACTTAAAGTGGTCAAAAAATTGCGTATGACCATTTTCTCCCTTCCCAAGATTTGCCCAACCAAATTTAAATCCGCCACCTCACTTTCAGCCATGTCGAGTGTATATATTATTTGCGGCCAATACAGACCACCCCTAAGCTTAAAGTCAACAGAAACAAATTAATTGTTTAGTAACCTCATCTAAATTAATCTGCCTATTACAAACAACACATTAACAAATACTTAGTAAATTATTGAATATTTACATCTACTGTATATGTTTACTTTGCCATTTACATATTTCATTTATATATTTCCTTTCAGAATCAATGGCTGCAACAGTGAGCAATGAAACTGTCCAGCTGTAATTTAGTGTGTATTCTTTGAGCTGTGTGTGGGGCATTGTAATGTAGCTTAGCTTAATCTTTCGCCTTTCTTTATTTCAGGAATCATTTCATCGCCTGCAAGTTTCACCAGTCCGTCGGAGTTTACTGTCACGGAGCTGAACGACATGACTGACAGGTTGGACCTGTCGGTGTCCTCGATCGACATGTCCGGCACAGCTCTGCTCGTGGATGACGATGGAGACGGGAACATCTCTGGCATTGGTGAGTCCCCCCAGCCGTGTCCCGGGGGTCCGGGGACCTGGGCTCTGGCTCTTTGCGCTCATGTCCTTTCTCTGCTCCTCCTTTTTGCTCCTTGCTTTTAGAAGAGTTGGTAGACAGTACTTCGGCCTTGCCAGAACCTCTAGAGGGCATAGCAGAGCCAGCAGAAGACCCATCCCCCCTGCAAACTGATTCGTCCCTGCTGGGCACACATGCTCCTGAACAGCCAGTAGTATCGACGCCATCTGATCTGGCTGACCCAGACACCGAGGGCTCTGGAGACCACGAACAGACCGTGGACTCAGATCTGCGGTAAGCAGGTGTGTGGTCACTGCCTAACTGCAGTTAGTCTGTGGAGCTTCTTGGATGGAGGGGGGAGTGTGACGTGTTGATTAAGTGTCAAAGATCCCAAAAAATAGTGCTTTGCTTAGGGGTAAAGGGCAAGTTACAAGTTTTTATGCAGGTTGTTACATTTGACAAAGCAAATGTTATTTTGATGGGAAAAACTATATTACCATTATTGTTTCTACAGTTTTTATTCAATAATCAGTGAGCTAAATAGTGACAATTGGTGATGATTGCTCATACCTTTTGAGTTTGAATGTAAACACAATTTATGTGGTGAAATCACATTTTTAAACGGCTTGTTAACATTAATATGGGGCTTTGAAGTTCTACATGCCAAAAGTGTTCTTTTGCATTAATCCATTAGAAATGCTCCATTTGCCTCATTTGTTAAAGTGCAAAAATAGTTGACTCTCATTTGATTATCCCATTCTGGTAAGCCAAAGATAGTAATCCTGGGGAACACACTGAGTAGATGGCGTTGATCCCTAATCCGGCTTTCTTAATTTACTTGCACAATCACGGATGGAAGTTTTCTATCTAAAATCATTTTTAATATGCCTTTTATGGTCTTACGCTGAGTAAAAGCTGCAAGGTGTCATATTCTTCAAAAAAACCTCTTTCTTCATAAACACTACACATAAACTAAAAGTGGTCCGCTTTTTGCTAAGTGCTAAACCGGTTGAGATTTCTGCATGGCATTCCGGCCAAATGCACTTTCTGATCTTTATTAGTGTTTGTGATGCACACGCTACTGCTAGATGCCCACATCGCTGATTTATGCATATCGCAGATCCTGAAATATGCAAAGTTTAAAACACTGTTCAGCATTGCAGGGTGTCCTTACTGTACTATATATGACATCGGCAACACTGAAGGTCATTTTCACATCTATGCAATTAGATCAGATGGACTGTAATAGTTTGGTGTCAATCTAGCAGCCAGTGCTGCTCTTTCATGTTTTATATGGCATTACTACAGTGGATGTTTTTTGCTGCATAGTCATTTTAATTTGCCGATTTTATTTTTTGCGTAATTTATAATGGTTTTTTTAGACATATCAGTGGGTACGAATGTGTGAATTCATGCAAAGGTGACTTTCTCGATCCCCCCCCCCCCCCAAAATGGCAATCTTCCCTTTAAATTGAATTGTCATTTTGACTCTCACTTGTTTATGAATTAATTTTTATGTATGTTTGAAGGCTTTTAAAGGAAGCTAATCAACACTGGAATGTGAAAGTCTGGATCAGATTTCTGTTTGTATGCTAAAATAAAAGGTTTATAGTTTTCTGGGCGTGCTGTGCAAAAGCATCACTCTGAGATGTCACATTGACTCATTTGTGTAAAAAATCTGTCCATCTTCTAACGGATCTTAGATACGGTCACGAGGGGGCTTGATGCTGATCCCAGGCAACAGAGGGTGTAAGGGTGCGGAGCGCTGAGTTGGAGGGTGTGTGCGTTTTAAATGACAAGCATCAGCATAAAACACACCACAACTTCCAAATCATACATCAGTCATTAAACTCAAAGGGGGAAAAACTTGTTTTATTATGGCCAATTTATTAAGCAGTAATTAAATCAAAATATGCTACATATATAGTTACAACCAACAGAGGGAGATAAATATTACAGGGACACGGTTATGGCATCTTGGACTGTATATATACACTCACTCTTTCTTCATATACAGCTTGTACAACTAGATGTCACTCAAAGAATTATTTTTGGATCCAAATTTTTTCTTCAGCTGAAATATTATACAAACGTGATTAATGTGTCAAGACTAGACAACCCGGTTCCTGGAGCAGCCTCTGTGCATTCTGGGTGTTTTTCATCTCCTTAACATTGTACACAGTACTTTGAGCACATTGTCACTTGCACTGATTTAGCAAAATAACTCAAATGGATCCCACCAGTGAAGGGAAAAGGGGGAGAGGAGTGTTTTTCCAAAACTGCAGGAGCAGACAGATGTATCTAGAACACTGTGCACGCGATGCTGATGGTCGCTATATACACTGTAATTCACAGATGACAGCCAAGTCGTGCTGCTTTAAGGGGGAGGGACCCAGAATTAAAACAGGGGATCGAGCTTTGCGATGCTTTTCCGTCTGCCGCAGACAGAAGCTAATTCTTGCAGCTACTATCAGGCGAGAATGTTTGGCAGGAACATAAAGTGCAGCCATACGTCCTCTATGCCCATACATACCACCACCGGAGAACAACCAGGAGGTCAGGGGTGAGGGAAGACACTGTCAGCCTGTAAGAAACTCCACAAGTGCTTCAACAATTTTACTGTAAAATGAAAAATGAGGACTACTCAGATAGGGCAAGAGAAACGAAGACTTTCTTGGGGAAAAAGGAAATTCAGAGATCCTACGCAAGCAACAGAAGTGATGCAGAAAACATTGGGACCTGCTGTTGGACCAAATACTTGATTGTTTAGCAGTTGTTGCCTGAGTGTCACCATCGTAACCCCCCCCCCCCCCCCAAAAAAAAAAAAAAACACAAAGACAAAACAGGTAATTGGAAACAGGTAAGTTACTGGAATGTAAGGGGGGGGGCAATACAATTTACCATTAACATCACCAAGCAAGGATGCATACAAACACCAACATGGCCTCCTGCAAAAATGGATACACCCTGGAGAAGCAAAGTCTACGCTTTGCTTACAGAGGCGGAAACCAACATGGGAAAGAAAGGAAAAAAAAAAAAAAAAAAAATTCAGAACATCCTGGGTATTATTTTGATTAAATCCACCTACTGTACACAGCACAATACAGGCCACACCCCTCTGTCTTCTGCAGCATGGCCCAACTGGAGAACGGTGACTTTTTTGTGTTGGATTTTCTACAATGTTCCTATGTTACAGAATGAATCTACTCCCCGGGACAGTTACAGGTGGGGATAGGCCTGGCCATTGACAGTAATATCTAACACAAGGTCAAACAGGCCCCCCGCCTCTAGGGGCCGGTCTGATGGTTTGAAAGTCCAAGGTGGCGATGGAGGTTGGTGACAGGCATTGAGTCCATGCCCCAGGCTCACGTCGACTTCTGTCTGTAGTGGAGCGTTAGATCCCCGCCACTTTTCCAGATGAAGTGTTTCACTGTTCGGAGGTCCATGTTTGGGTCGAGAACCTGTGGGTGGGAGCCAGGATGGGCGTTATAATCCCATTTGGACCCAAACCATGAGAGACAGCTTGTGGGTGGGAGTGTTGCAGGTGGGAAAAGTAGTGTGACCCTAGCTCGGATGGGGTGGCGAGAAGACCCACCTGGTCCTGGCAGAGCAGCTCGATCTTCTCCTCAGCCAGCACGGCCATGTCCTCTTCCTTTTCTTGCTCGCTGGGCTTGTCGTTGGTGGATGAGCTAGTGGTCTGGGACTCGTTGTCCAGGTTGATGATCTTCTCGTAGACGTGCTCCATCACCTTCCGCACTTGCAGCATGTCGCTGGCCGACAGACGGTCCCTGGAGAGAGCAGAAGCCTCTTGATGTCCTTTCTAGGTACTATACTCTTAAACCGTACCTTAAGCAATGACTGTGCTGACTCATGAAAAGCACTAGTCCTGTTGGGTCATGACTCCCGTGAGTCCATTGGCAGGAGTTCAAAGGATCATAAAGAGGTCACAGTGAGAGCTGGTCTAGAATAGTGTTTCCCTATCCGGTCCTTGGGGATCCACAGACGGTCCACGTTTTTACTCAAAATGTGGACTGTCTGGCACTGAGCTCAGAGGGAGCAAAACCGTGGACCAGCTGTGGGTCTCCGAGGACCGGATTGAGAAACACGGGTCTAGAACATCCGTTTTACATAAGAACAGTGCTGTCACAGGCAGCAGTGATGACCAACATACAAATACAACAGACCAAAAATATGTAGATTGAAAAGAAAAGTAGGCAACATACTTCTTTAGGGTTTTTGCGCCAGAGGAAGAGTGAGGTTGGAGGTAGAACGGGATTTTGTTAAATTTCGGCATGTTTTTCTGAAAGGAGAAGGGAGAAGGTTATGGGTGCGTTTAATGTGCATCACAGCACCGATACGCTGAAAGCCAGGGGAGAAGCTGTCGGCGGTTCCGTGTTGAGGCTCACGTCCACTGTGATGTCGATCACCCATTGTGGAACTGTCTCGTTCAGCAACATGGACTCCGTCTCACCTCCAGAATCCCGGCACAGCAACCTGTAGAGAGGTGGGGGCGGGGCGTTACCATGACTACGAGGGCTTTCGAGCCGGGGCCGGGACTCGTCCGGGTTGCTGATATTCCCATAAACGTGCCACGACAGGACAGACTAACCTGAAGAGGGTTCTCACTAACCTGAAGAGGGTTCTCCCGCCGGCCTCTCCGAAGATGACGGGAGTGTGTGGTGGAACCTGGAAGTAGCCGTTGCCTTTCTGTATCCGGTTTTCCTGTTCCCCATTAACTGAGAGAAAAAGGGGGGGGGGGGGCAGCAAAAATCTTATCACACAGACCTTCATACTTCAGATTTCCCCCAGCCACCCTGGGCATGGCCTGCTATCCGTTTTCAGGAAACGGCCTCTCGGGAAAGAGAGAGAGAGAGGAACAAAGGGTGGCGCGTGATATCCTCCCCGCATTGCAGGTCTGCGAGAGTGAAGGAGGGGAGGAAACGAAGGGGACGAGAGGTGCCTTCGCCGGGGCGGGGGCCGCCTACGTGACCGCGAGTGGCGCGAGGGAAGCTGCCTTACCGTGGTTGACCTCATTCTCCTCTTCATCCATGGGGTTTATGTGTGTCCTTGGCCAGAACTCCAGGAGAGCCTGGAGCAACAAGCCACCCAGATTCACTAGAAATAAACACAGCGTTTTATTCCTTAATGTTTCAATGCACCCACCCTTCAGCTGGCATGTGATAAAAGCACCTCTGCAGCGGCGGCAGCGGCTCCTCGGATGGGAGGTGGCCGTCTCAGGCGGGCACAGGGGACTTACGCTTCGGGTCGGAACCATCAGGACTGGTGAACCCTGCATCCTTAGCGGAGACCCATGCCGCGAAACAGTCACTCTCGTCCAAGGTGATTGTCAGCATCTGGATCCATCAGAAACATCTGGATCCATACTTCGATTTCACAATGTGAATAAACAGCTTTTTAAAAGCGTCTCAGTCTAATGTGAAAGGATTAAATAGTAACAAGCAAAGCAGAATTGCAAGAAATCCTTCCAAAGCTTGCAAACACTCAGGGTTAGTCTTCCCAGCATGAGTCTGATTGATTGTCTGCTTTTACTGTAGATTTCTAGATAGTCATGCAGCACTGATTGCTGTTAATGGCACAAACACGCATCAATACATCAACCCAACCGGTTCATTATTTAACAAGTTCTCTTCACTGAATGACTCACCCCAGTTTTTAGATCCACGGAGAACCAGTTTGGCACGTAAACCATCTTGAAACGCTTTTTGATTTCTTCATCAAACTCAACCTTGCCCAGATCTTCACCCTTACATGCCTTAAAGCATCACATAAAGCAGGTCAGCAAAGGTCACACCCAACGGCCCAGTACCCTCCAGAAGACAGCGGCTGGTGGCGGCACTAACCTTCAGCACGTCCCAGTATGCCACATTGTTGTTTGTGTCTTTGGTCAATATGTGCCTCTTGTCATTGAGGATGTGACACTGAATGATACTGGCGCCCCCTACAGTATTGGGTAAATGTAATGACGTCAACATCTTTTAAAAGCAGCCCTGGTGACTGATGTTAACAGTCATTCTCTTGTTTGGATATGATGTCATACTACTGGGGAGAGGGGTCGTATCAATGAGCTTCTGAGACGCAAATTACAAGACTCATCAAATGTTAACAGTCAGCATCATGGGTAGGGAGTTCATAAAGAGCGTTACATTAAAAACCTGCCCTATTGCTCTGCGACCCAGGTAGCCAATGAGGTGAGCCGACCGGACCCGGCTCTCTGATTCCTACGGTGGGGAGTGAGCAGAGGTCACGTACCTTTGATGACCTGCTCGGGCTGTGAGCAGAGGGGAGTCACCGGGCTGCTGCAGTCGTTGTCGTAGTCACCAGACGCTCGGAAATTATGGATGCCCTTTAGGGACTGAAATAGAGAACATTGGGAACACAGTGTGTTAAGCCAGGGAAGGGTCGCACGACACACAGTACCAAACTCTATAACACACACTCGGGCCACTTTGGGAATATAACCACAGAACTGATCCAATCATCTGAAATTTACAATGATCTCTTCCAACACTGCTGATTTACAGCTTTACAGGAAACACACACAGGATCTTTTCTGTGTTCCTGCTGATTATGCAGAGGAGGTTGCAGCACCACAAGCATGGTGACCCTACAGATTATGATAAATGAGTAACAATTACCTGCACCATTAACCAGAACCACCGCACTGACAGACAGACCCTATACCTCAGAGAACCAGAACAGCCGCACTGACAGACCGACCCCACACCTCAGAGAGAACCAGAACTGCCGCACTGACAGACAGACCCTACACCTCAGAGAGAACCAACAACCCTTTACTGTATACTGAGAGTACACACATACACACAAAACACAGTAGGAGTGGGAATCAGCAGTAACCACCAGAATTGATATTAAATCAATATATTTGCCAATTTGAAATGTATCCCAATTTTTAAACATTTTGCTGAAGAGCATTTCAGGTCTACATTTAAAGTCATAACAAGGGATGTAACTGTACACGTATTCGTTACATGCCTCTCTGTGACAGCATTCAGTTTGGAACAGGCAGTGAAACGAATTAATACATTTCCTGACACCGGTAAAACCACAATTCAAGTAGATGTTCAACATGGAAATCATTATGCTAACTGTGGCTGTGAGTTGGTTGCAGCTACTACTGGAGAGCTCAAAAAACAAAACTAATGCTAAGTTCACACTACACAATTTTAGACCCAATTTTCTGCTTGGCTAAAGTGTTTGCCGATTGCCAACCAAAGCCCCAGATCAGATCTGAGGCAAATCTGTGTTCGCTTGGCGCTGGCAAATCACTGCTTGGTTGCTATTTAGTTCAAAGATGTGACAGGACAGTGTTGCCAATGCATCGCAGATGCCTGTCAGGTACCTAACAGGCTAATGAAAGTGCAAGACACAGGGTGAGATGAAACCTGAGGGAGGAGCTTTAAAAAAATGTAAATAGTTCAGTTTGTTTAGAAACTGTTCTTAGTGCTCAGGGAAGAGGTATAGAGATATTCAGTGGAAGTTTACATTCCACACACTTGCAGTTAGTTGTGGCTTTAAATTGAGAGGGTGCAGGAAAAGTCTCTGCACAGACGTACTCATTCATGATAGGACCGTACCAAACTCGTGCATGCCAGTCCCTTAAGAAAATCAGGCTGTACCCAACGCCTGTAAATTTCTGTAAACCCAGGTTCAAACTGATGTTTAAAAATCGATTTAACTCACCGCAATATTAATAGCCACTTCAAAGAATCATGATTTGTAATAGAATTGATTCCCCCTCACCACCACACAAAAAACCAGCACTGCAATACGAGACAGGTCACCCTTCACAGAGAACCAGAATCCATGCTCTTCTACAGACTACACTACACAGAGAGAACCACCAATGCCGTACTGAGAGACAAACCACACACTTCATAGAGAAACAGCACAACTGTATTAAGACAGAATGCACACCTCACAAACACCACTGCACTGAAACTGTACACCTCACACAGCCATACTGAGAAAGATTGCACACCGCGCAACCAGCACTGCCATACTGAGAGACAGACCGCACACTGGAGAACCAGCGCCGCCATACTGAAACAGACTGCACACTTCATGAAGAACCAGCGCCGCCATACTGAAACAGACTGCACACTTCATGAAGAACCAGCGCCGCCATACTGAAACTAGGGCTGCACGATTTATCGATTTCAAATCGAAATCGCGATTTGAAACAACGCGATTAGCAAGTCGCAAAAATAGCGATTTAGGATATACATTATACAGCACGTCGGACCCAGGGTTTAAAACTGCTGTGAGAATAGTTTTACAAATTCATGCCATGCTCCCTGTGTGATAGTCATTCTCACCAATCACAAGCACCGTGCTTATCGCCTGCCAGTCATGCTCACCAATCACAAGTGGCCCAAGAAGGCGTACAGGCCCACAAACAGCAAACACGTGAAACCCAAGGAAAATGTTACATTCGCGGTACGGAAAAATACTGATTCCGCTACTGAGCTATAAGTGAATTGCCTTCCTATTTAATGGTCTGAGATTGTTTCAGAAAGGTCCTATCATCAATAGAATCGGCGAGCTCCTTTTAAACACCAGCTGCAATATACTTCAGCGTATCATACCTTTGGTTTTTGTTAATAGGCAATAGCATTAGTATACCGCTAACACATCAGAACAACAATGAGACAGTCAGTAATTCTTTCAGCAGTCGGTGACCCCCAAAAAAAGCCATAAAACAGTTACCATTTTTTGTTTCACCTGAATTGATTTGTATAGAAAATAACGTATACAGTCGTTAAAAAGCGGAAACTTCGACCAACATGAAATCACCAATAAACGACTTCTATTTATTCAACATTTTCTAAAATGCATACTACGATAAAAAATTTCTAGCTTTACTGTTTCAGGACAGAACAGCCACTCTGTTATGAACATTATGGTTTTTTGAGTGTTATTAGTGTTATAACAGTAGCTAACAACACAATAGCGCAAACAAAAGGGCTGCATACACCGAAGTAGTTCTTGCTTGTTCATTGGCGTGGGAAAAGGCGGTTCTAGTGTTATTAGGATGGTAATAAGCGTTACCTGCAAGATCGCTATTTTTCTTTTTGCTGCAATTGTTTTCATTATTACTTTATTTAACTTGACACATCACATCTTTAAATTCTCATCCTTGCATTAGAATATAGACCAGTTAATACTGATGGTATCTCATGCTGCGTGTTTTAAAATTACTACACACTGAATATTGAACTGAAGCTTGACATTAAAAAAATTAAATAGCAAATCAAATCGTAATCACAATTTCTGTCAGAAAAATCGCGATTTGATATTTTCCCCAAATCGTGCAGCCCTAACTGAAACAGACCACACACTTCACAAAAAACAGAGAGACAGACCACATACCAATTAGAGAACCAGCACCGCCATACTGAGAGACAGATCGCACAGTGGAAAACAAGCGCCGCCATACTGAAAGACTGAACACTTCACGAAGAACCAGCATCACCATACTAAGACAGGCCGCACGCTTCACAAAGAACCAGCGTCGTCATACTGAGAGACAGACCACACACTGGTGACCCAGCTCCGCCATACTGAACCAGACCACACACTACAAGAACAACAGAGAGACAGACCACATACCAAACAGAGAACCAGCACAGCCATACTGAGAGACAGATCGCACAGTGGAGAACCAGCGCCGCCATACTGAAACAGACCGCACACTTCACGAAGAACCAGCATCACCATACTAAAAGGGCTGCACGCTTCACAAAGAACCAGCACCGGCATATTGAGAGACAGACTGCACACCTCACAACCGGCACTGTCATACTGATAGACAGACCGCACACCTCACAGGGAAAGGGTGCAGTCGGCGGCCACCTACCCACTTATTGACAGAGGACTTGGTGGAGGAGACCCAGATGGCTGGAGGGGGGTCAGCTGACCGATCCAGCTCCATCTGCGAGACAAACACAGGGGACACGTTCACATCACATGTCAGCCGGCACTCTGGGTCACACAAGCTCTGCGTGAAACTGAAAATAACCAGACGGGGTTTATTTATTTATTTAATAAATGCATTGCCGCATAAATTACTGACATCAAGGGCAACAATAAAAAAGCTTTTTTTAATATAAGCTTATGTACAAAACAAATGAGCCATTACCTAATTATTACATGCAAAGTTGGCAGCACTCAGCCAGTCGTCCAGAGGAAACATTAAGAGCAGTAATCGCTGACTGCTAATGGGGGGGGGGGGGGTTTCATCTTCTCCCGCAACCGTTTCTTACCATCCAGCATCATCTGATGGACTCTGAAGACCAGCCCCATCCACACAAACCTCCACCCTTCCATTTAATTTCGCGTTACGGCTGTACAACCCTATCCCACAAGGGAGACCACTTACAGTCGAGCGGACGTCCTTCCCGTACCGAAAATAAAACAGAAACAGCATGCTCCACCTTTCCTACACCCGACACGCTAAATTAGTCTGGTACAAACAGCCCATGCATCCCTAATGCCCTCAGAAGCTCTTCATAAATCAGTCATCTGCACGTCAGTCTCCCACTTAGAAGGTAAAATGGACTTTGCCTGCAGGCTCCGAACATCCTGCAGATCTAACAAGCTGATGCATTAATGCCTTCAGAGCCTTACACACAGGAGACGGTCCAAACCCACCCATCGAGACCCCCCCCCCCCCTGCACGCCTCCCACCTTGAGGACAGGGGCCTTCTCTTCGCAGATGAGCACACGGATGTCGGGGTTGCGCAGGTCGGTGCAGTAGACCTTGCGGTCGCGGCCCCCGGAGTAGACGTGGGTGAAGGCTTCATTGGCCTGCAGCGCCCACACGCCCTCGTCGTGCACCCGGTACGTGGCGATGCACCGCTGCTGGCCCAGCGACCACAAACGGATCGTGCCGTCCGAGCTGCCCGACAGACACTGCATGGGACGGGGGAGAGGAGTAGAGTCAACTGCTCATCAACAATGTAGCATTTGAAACGGCCCCATAATATTGATGTGGGGACTCCCACTGAAAAGACAACATTTCATTCAAATACATGTTGTGATTTTGACGAAAAAAATGACTCAAAAGATTCAAAAGAATTAGGGCTGGCAGCTCGTTATATCAGCGAGCCGTATCATGTATAAACTTCATGTCAGCTCAGATTACACCAGTGTTAAGAAGTCCTAATCAAAGCCTTGTGGGACAGGGTGAAGATCATCACTGGATCTACAGAACATAACAAAGGGATTTTAGTTGTCTGTGACATTTATAAGAAGCTGTTCAAAGAGCCAAGTGCACAGGGACTGAAAATGGTCTATTGTTTTGAGATGAAAGTTCAGTATCTCAAACAGAGATGCACTGATCTGATATTCGGATCGGTGCCGATCCAGACCTATTTCACGGGTTTGGTAATCAGCTATACGTGACCGATCCCACGTCCGACATTTGCTAATTTTGGTTTCGGTAGTCTTCAAAAACATAGCTCCTATTTCATGTTAAATCTGTTTGTACAATCAATAGCACTACCACTCTTTTCCATTTTAGATGTGTTTTTTTGCGCCATTAAAGCTGAACGCTAACCCTGCCCCTCAGTTTTGCTACTCAGTGGGTGTGAGCACAGTGACTTCCGTCTGCTGTGACGTCATGTGCATACCCTTTGCAGTACGAGGAGCGTAAGAACATCAGATAAGGTGACAATATGGAAGTATTTTACACTTTTAACAGTGATTAGTAGCACAGCAAATTGCAATCTTTGTAAAAACAAAGTTTTGAGAAGTGGGAGTAGCGTTTAGTGGAAATGCATGCAATTGTACGAGATTCCGCGAGTAATATGAAAAAAAGCAGGAGTAGCTAGCTTGGGCTGATTCGCACACTCATGATACAGGAGGTGCTGCTATCGCAACAAAGTGTAAGTGACGCTGTTGAAAGTGGGAGAAAAATTACGGGGCATTTTTAACATTCACCGCTGGCGTATACTCTCCTGGAAGATATTCTTATTGTTGTTTGTCTCAAACACCTGAAACAAAATGCACAAACGAGGTGGAACAGTACATTATGTACGTTTCCAGTAACCTAATTAAAGATTTTTTGGCACACATTTTATTTGTATCTAAAAATATTAATATATAAAGTATAAATCTATACAACATTTCTATATATATATATATATTCATAGGTATAGACCTATGAATATATATAGAAATGTTGTATAGATTTGTGTATAGCAACAAACGGGTAAACAAAGGTTGTTCCAACAATTTTTCCCCCATGTGATTTTATTTTCCGATTGTGTGTTAGACGATGACTGATGAACAGCCGCTAACAAGTGTGGCAGTGCATGGTTATGACTTGGACCTAGATCTTACAGCAGGTCCTGTTGTTACTTGGAGGGAAGTCCGTGAAGTTACAGATAGTTTTATTTCCTTCTACTTTTGGGGGGTGCACCATCAGAAGAAAATCTTGCCTTTCCTGTAGTTGAGGTGTAGTTGAGGGTGATGAACTGGTCCAGAGAAGTAATGGGACTGAGCATATGGATCTTTATGTCTGTGCTGATCAACTTGTACCAGCTCTTTATGATAGATATGACCAGTTAAATTAGAATTGGTGAGAACATACTGGCCAAAATATCACCATTAGAGCAGTTTGTACAAATTTCAGTGCGAAATCTTGGCAATGAGTGTCAGCGACTCCAAACCGACATAAAAAGGTGTGAGGGTATGCTAAAATACCAGCTTGAGAGGGAGTACACACACATGCATTATAGGCTTGAGGCTTCTTTGAAATTCTACGGTAGGTAGTGCCCAGATTGAGCAGAAGTTAAAAAGCTACAATCTGACGACCTCAGTTCCGTTCTCCATAGCGACTGGTAGGTCTCAGGCCCGTTTTGTCCCATCCTCTTCCCCAGGTAACCAGTCAGACGATCAAGCCAGTTTTTCGGTACATCATTTAAAGCAGGGTTCTTCAAATCTGGACCTCGGATCTCCAAATCCAGGTCTTGTTTTCAGTTCTCCCAGGTAGTTAGTTTAATAATTACTGATTCTAAGTGGTCAGAGGCTTCACACCTGACTGACAGGTAAAGGAAGGCTGGAAAACCAGCAGTGCTCGGACCTTGAGGACCGTGTTTTGAATAACCATGATTTAAACATTGAGTTCCCATGTTTTGGAGATAAGTCGTGAGTTAGATCCTAGGACATACACTGACTAGTGTGAGGCGTTCCTAGCAGTCCGTGCCCTGACTGACTGTGAAATTTTTGCAGCACTCAACTCAGCGTTAAAAGGAACAGCAAAAAAATGCTCCCCGTACTGGCCACTCCATGAAACTACCAAAGGTTACAATATTTATTATATTAAAATATTAAAGTAAAAGGAGCTCTTGTATTGGAATCTGTATCCGTATCGGCAGTTTTGTATTAGAATCAGATCTGAACTGGAAAAAATAAATAAATAAATCGGCCCATCTCTTACCTTACAAACGGAAGACAGAATAATGAACCATCCCATAAGCTGGGCACACTGACTTCCACACATGCCTCACCCAAACCCCACCCAGACCTCGTCTCCACCCAAACGATGCGGCCAACGGTGACCGGCAGTCCCACCTGTGTGCCGTCCCTGTTTAGCAATAAGGACTTGACGTTGTCTGTGTGCCCCTTCAGCTTCATGAGCTTAGCACAGGTTCGGGGGTCCCACACTCGTAGCACCTGTCAGGGGGAGGCAGAGCAGGGCAGACAGATGAGGACAGTGCAGAACGGCAGCCTGAGGCACACCATCTGCCAGGGGTCCCATATTTTATTAACCCCAGGACAACCACCTCCTACGCACCCTGAGGAAAGTAAGCAGCAAAACATTTTTGGGAAATTACTCTAGACACAGAAAGGCCAACAGGTTCTGATTCACTTGCTGTTAGTTTCTGACAGCCCCCTGGGTTTCAAACGAACAGTGTTCAAAAGCAAGAGCAAAAACAGGTTTGTTGCTATTTGAGAACACTGACGCAGCAAATGTGTAATCTCACCATGGGCCTGACATTAAATGCCTGACTAAAACAGAGTTCAGCCCCCTCATGTTCAGGGTCAGGTTTCGAACTTGGACCACGGTGACATTCTGCAGTGGTACCTGGCTGACATCATCACATCTGAGCATGATGACCACTGCCAGCCTGGTAAAAACCTTTAAAAGCATCCACAGGCACTGATCTCACTGGCACATCCCCCTGTTTTCATCAGTGAAGGCTCCAGAGACCATGATGCGCACATATAGCGAAACCTCAGCACGGCTACGCGACTCCAGGAAAGAATGGTGGGCAAAACAAACACAGATGCGGGGAACAGAGTGGAGCGTCGATCGACTGCTCCACGCATGAAGCTTTTAAACACTATAATGCAAAAGCTTTAAAGCAAGATAATGCAGCGCAATAGAGCACTTGGCTTCTAATCATAACCCTTAATCCTTAAGGGGGTTTGTGGTGTTTTTCCCCACACATATGAATAGTCCACCTTAAATGGAAGTTCTTGATGCTTGGGTTCAGCACTCTAAAGCGCAATTTCAAAATATAACTGAACCTGGCACAGATCTTGATATAGAGGGGGCTGGCTTTTGGCTGACAAAGGCCAAGCAAATATGAAGGCAGACATAGCCTCGAACACTGGCCCAAACACCAGGCCTGAAGCTCTGGCGACTGGACAGCAGTCCCAGCTGTTACTGTTGCACGGCGGCAGAGAAGCTGACATTTTTTGGCGACTCACTAGAGATAGAAATTAATGATTCGCTTATGTCTGGCCAAATATCTTGGTCGCTTGACGAAAACCGCCTCGGCGGACCATCTCAGCTCACGGCACACGAAGGGAGAAGACATGTCAGGAGACAGGGAACTGCACACCCACCTTCTCAGTGGACCCGGACACTATTACTGTTCCCATCTGGTTCATGGCCAGGCTGTAGATGGAGTCCTTGTTCCCACTCAGAGAGGAGGCTGAGGGAGCAATGAGGCCGGCAGGTCAGTCAGAGCAGCCGCAAACACACACAGCCATGCAACCTCGTTTATTTCAGCCCCAGCGGTAAATGGGAACGCCACACGCTTTGGTCTCTGGTTAAACTGGGCCCTGAAATGGCACTTCGAACCAGAGAGTGATGAAAAGCTGTTTTTAATTAGCAATGACTTCATTAGCTATTTAAAAGCCACTCATTTAGCTGCATTCTTAAAATTACGTAGAACGGTTAAACAAACTACAATATTAACAAAATGGTGTCTTTACTGAGCTGGGAGGCTCTGAGCTTTAGTTGTAGGAGGAAAGAACCTTGTCTGTCTGTCTGTCTCACATGCACGCACACACTCACATGTTTCAGAAGGACTGATGTGCTCTGATCACAGACCAGGCTGACACAGAAACACTCTTTTTGGGGTTTGGCCCACTTCTAAACCACCTCAATCCTGCTGCCCCCTTAAAACAGTAAAGGGGAGGGGCTCATACTCACTGGTGACAGTGTTGTTGGAAGCGGTCAGTGCGGTAAGTGTATTTACATCCCACAGGAAGATCTGCCGGTCCAATCCGGCCGACGCCACCAGCTCCTTGTCTTTCGCATATGCGAGGGCTTTGACGTAGTCCTGCAGGGCCGAAATGCACAGCCATTCTCAGGAGTACCTCTCTAGGCCATGAGAACGCCCTGTCCTACATACATCTAGATCAGCACACACAGGCACTGACTCCCATCATCCTTCCTTTTCTTTAAGGAAGGTTTGTAAATAAATGAAGCACTGTGTGGGCTGCCAATTAGAAAGGGCCTCACTCTTTTGGCATTTTATACATTCGGCCAAAACCTCCTTTCAGTTACCTATTCAACTACATACAAACCAAACCTTCAATGACCAATTCACAGGCTGGGTTTAATCAATCACAGTTCAAACCACACGGCATAAAAGCATCATATCTGTAATCCACACCACGACGGCGGCACACAGTCAAGGCTGCCTTACCTTGTGCGTCCGCAACGTGGACATGCAGAACCCCTTGTGCGCGTTCCACACTTTCACAGTGGTGTCCGATGATGCGGAGATCACTGCAAACCAGGACAGAACCCGTAAGCCAAGATGGATCAAGGCTGCGGTCTCAGCACAGTTTAAAGCAGAGAAGACTCTCAGGACTTTGGGGGGAGGGAGGAATCGAAAACCAGGCCCATAAAACTCACATGTCTTTCCATTGCAACAGAGGACAATATCATTAACCCAGTCTGTGTGGTGTTCCATTGATGCTATGTAAGGATCTTGCTGCAACAGAATTAAGCAAAAGGAAGAAAGAATAAATACACAACAGACATGTTACCACCAGTAATCACTCATGTGCCACACAAATCCACTGGTGGTAAATATGAAAAATGTTATTTTTACTTTGGCATATAAAAGATGCTTCACGGGTGAGACTCAGCAGACGTCTGCTGACTCCACGGGACCTTGGTGTTGCTATAGCGCCATAAAAATGTACAGGGAGGCTTTTTCTGCATTCATGGGGTGGGGGAACCCACGACAAGTCACCTTGTGCTGGTTCACACTCCAGATTCTGATGATGGAATCCCGGCCAGCAGTGAACAGGCGGTTCAAGGCGGGGTCCAGCTGCAGTGCATTCACCCCATTGCGATTGTACTTCTCCACCTCATCTCGTATGACGTACGATACCTGCCAGGGCAGAGGAATGTCCAACGCGTACAGAATGACACCTGCAAGTCTTGCCGCCTTTAACTAAATACACTACAATTGATCCCAGAATAGACAGGCGTCGTCGATTTATAGTTAAAAAAATTATTTTGGGCAAAATGTCTAAAGCAATCAAGTAAAACATACTCAATATTTAAACACCTGCAGCACCCATCCAGAAAGGAACTGTTTTGCATACTTCTGGAGTTCTGTTATACAGCAGAGCCAATAAAGACAAATATCAACAACCTACTCCATCAATGAATTTCTAATAACCTATGCATGCGACTATTGAAGGATAACACTTCCCTACACACAGAAATCACAAGCAACTGAAGGATAACACTACTTTATTATACAACCTTAATTAGACATTTTTTTAAAACAGCAAAACAAATTAGATGTTATTCAGTGTACCCTGCAATCTGTGATCTATTTCAGGGAAAGCAAGAGGACAGATAGGAGCTCAATTGAATTTCGGCATACACTGCAGTTTCAGATGGTAACTGCTCAATCAATTCTTTAGTTCCAACCAAAACTAAACTGAATCATATTCCTGCTACACCAGATTGCTTGCCAGGTGCAGCATGGGCAAAGGGGAGCCAGATTATCTGTAAGCATGATATATAGCTGTGTCCACTGTGGGAATTTAGCTAGCCAGGAAAGGGAGCAGTTGTCTAAAACAGTAACTAAAAACCAGTCGTCCAGTATTACAAGTATTTCTTATAATATGCAAATTGTGACTTACGCCTGCAATAAGATGCATCATTTAGACAGTACACATTAACATATATTATCTGTGTCTGCTCTGCATCTTAAAAAATAATTTCAAAAAGTGCCAATCCATGTTTATACATCATCAATTACTTCAATTCTGGTTAGAAATAACAACAACGAATCAAACAGTTGACATTAACCGGCAATCTCGTCCTACGGATTTCAGGTAATTTGATACTTTGTTTGCTCTCCAGGTATAACACATTTATATATTATTAGGAAATATTATTTATTTATTTATTCTGAAATCTACGTGAAACTTGAAAACGGGGGAAACCGCAGAAGCAGCAAACGGCAATAACAAGAGAGTCGCTTCATACACACAGCCAGTTACCAGGTCAGAGAGGCAAGCGGGCGATTTCTTAAAATAAAATAAAAAGCACGGTACGAGAAATCGTAACCAAAACGCTCATTAGTTTAATTCAGAGACAGTACAGTTAGCTTTCGCGGCTAAATGCTTAACGGCGTTCGCCCTGCTAACGGACAGCACCGTACACGCATAAGGACTGCCGCAGTTTCACCCAACTTGCGCTGTCCGTTTAAAGATTCCGTGCCAGACAGTTACACGAGCCCCATTAAACACGCACAATTACATTTATCTTCACTTAATTTCCAAATAGATAAATGCCGACGGCCAGAGCGAATCAAACAGATGTAGCTACTAGCTAGCACGCTATATGGCACTACATTGAGCACCACACCATTTAAAGACTGCCCAAAAACCTTCTCCACTTGCAAAGATATCCGTACCAAATGCTGATCAATGCCCAGAACACAAGTAGAGTCACGCATTTGTCCAATTACGTCCTACAGGGTTACAAAAATAGGCATTTACCTGGACTTTCCTCCGCCCAGCAGCGTTTTGCCTGTGATGGGCCGCCATCTTGCATGTTGACAGCCTTACGTCACATCCCCCGAGAAATTAAGCCAACATCCGGAAAAGTGCTGTCAGTCAAAGCGAGGGCTGAGAGATTACCGTAATCCTACTAGAAAATGTGTCATTCATGTTACTAAAAAATAAATACTGTACATTTCCTGTATATTATTCAAAAATATTTACCATAACACGAGAACAATCTTTACTCAATATTTAACAACTGATACTTCAAGAATGTTAAATTATATTTCAAAATAAATGTCGACATTTTAAGGCAATTTTTGTCAATACTGCCATGACACATATGTTTAACTTCCCTAAAATACATCGATTTTCTGAAACCGCTTGTACTTTTCAGGGTCGCAGGGGGTCCGAAGCCTATGGGCGCAAGGCACAGAACAACCCAGGATGGGGTGCCAACCAATCACAGGGCAAACTCACACCTAGGGGCAATTTGGCGATCCATTCAACCTCAGCATGTTTTTGGACTGGGGGTGGGGGGAGAGAACCCGGAGGAAACCCCACAAGGACACGAAGGGAACATGCAAACTCCACATGGTAGAGACTCAAACCCTGGTCCCAGAGGTGAGGTAACAGTGCTAATTACTGTACCACTCCAAAGTACACCTTTAACTGATATTTTTATATTAATTATTTTCGAACACACATAAAAAAACAAAATTCAGATCGTTTTGTTTTATTACGTAAAGACTTTCATCCTTTTAAAGTGTAGAGCTCTCTGGCCAGCACACTCCCCCGTTAAAGGTTCAAATGTACTTAGGCGCCATGGTCATCTCTGCAGTGTAACAGTGTAAGACCTGCTCCAGGTCCGACAGTGAACAGAGCCCTGTGATATGGGCATGAAAGGGAGAAATGGGCACTTTATTCAGGTGCAGAAGTAAGCGTAAAAAAGTGAGGACATGAAAAACATAATAATACAACGTTATATAATCGGTAATCAGGCCCGGGTGAACGAGCGAACTCGTCACCTGACTTTGCCGTTTCTCGAGATGGAAACGCCCCCATCCAGCAGACGGACGCGTTCCGATGGAGGACAGATTGCAACACAGCAGGACAAGTGCCTGACAAAAGACCCGTTATTCATCCGAGCTGATGGCAAAGCGAGCCAGGGGGTCTGACAGCCTCCTTACGGGATGTTCCGCTACGGCTGCGGTGCGCGGTCCGGGTCAGACCGGTCAGAGAATGCTTACAGCGTCGGCCACCCCAGAGATCGCTGGTACACGTGGAAAGGAAAGAACAGCTGGTACTGTTCGTATATTAAATGTGTTTTTATTGCCAAACAAAGATAAAAGAGTTGGTACAATACCGTACACCGTCCTATACTGGGGCCATTCATCTTTCTAAAAAATAACACGCCGCGGCTTTTGTTTTATGGGAACCTGTGATCTGCTGAGTCTACAGAAAAACGGATCTATTTTTTATCCTTCATTTTGCCCTCTTCTTAATATAGAAGCCCCAAGTCACCTTGGAGAAAAAGCATAATGAGTATTATATAAATACGTTCCTATTATAGATCCTGTTTGACCTTATGGGCGAGATAATGTATTTTCATTTAACTGAAGTTCTCAAGGGGCCGCACGGTGGCGCAGTGGTTGGCACTGTTGCCACACACCTCTGGGACCAGGGTTTGAGTCTCTGCCAGAGTTCTGCGTGTGGAGTTTGCATGTTTTCCCCATGTCATCGTGGGGTTTCCTCCGGGTACCCCCCCGTCCAAAAACATGTTGAGGCTGATTGGAGTTACCAAATTGCCCGTAGGTGTGCGTGTGTGAGTGAATGGTGTGAGTGTGCCCTTCAACATGTTGAGGCTGATTGGAGTTACCAAATTGCCCGTAGGTGTGCGCGTGTGAGTGAATGGTGTGAGTGTGCCCTTCTGATCATTCAGGCTTGACTCAAATCATCTGGAAAATTCAAGTGCATCAACTCAGGCATGTCAATAGAGGCAAAGTTGTTGATAGAGGAATGGGATTTCTCTAGGTAATATACCGCACCTATACAGTCATCATAAATACAATGATTTTTTTATTCTTTACGATCCGCTGATGGTCTGCTGCCTTATTTTATTAAACATAACAAAGAGTTCTCAATTCTATATCAACCTACATATAAATAAAGCTAAATTTTTAAATTTTACTCCTACCATAGTATTTTCCACATTTTATTAGTATTCCCAGATCTTTTATATTATAGTATTTATGTTTAAGAATTAAATAGTTAACTTAGTTTTGCTAATCACTTCTTCATAAATAAAGTCAAATGCATAATACAATAATTTCCCTGATAAAAAATGAAAGAAAGCATTGCTAAAATCTTCAGAATAGTTTATTTAAATGGGATCAATTGTAGGAATACGAAGGCCACGCCTGTGTGACGTCAGGAAAGGTAGCGGTGAGTTCACTCTAGTCGACATCATCACGGTGACTTGGTGAAGAGGGGTTCCAGTCTCAAAACTCAGGGAACCGCAGGGAACGACTGGCGGACAGCGAGCCCAACCCTCTGTTTAAGACGGCACATCAGCCGCTATACGTATCGATGACATAGTATCGATCTGTCCAAACAGCTGCTGGCGACTTGCTTCCGTGTGTGGTACGCCAGATCCTTTGCTGGTTAAAGAACACTGCAGGGAGTCGTGCGCCCAGAAAAGCAAAGGACCCAGCTTCACGTACCCTGCATGACATATACAAGACCAGCCTGCAGAGGGCCACAATTTCACAGGAGACCCACGGCACCCCAGCCTCTGCCTCTCTGCACTGCTGCCGTCGGAAAGGCGCCCCAGGGCTATTCATGCCTGCACTTTTAGACTAAAGAACAACTTTTTCCACAGCTATTAGCAGGCTGAACAATTCATTTATTATAATCACCATTACTGTCGCCGCTATTACCACATTATTGTTATTAATATAATTATACTATTACTATAGTTATATTATCAATACTTTCATAATTCACCACTATCATTATACTGTAGGCTACACAGTATTTTTTACCGTACCTGAACGGCATATGCTTATGTCTGCTCTTTTTTGGAGATATTATATATGATGTGTTAAACTTTGTCGTAATTGCTACCTGTACAATGATAATAAAGGCATTATATATTTCTTTTTTGGTGTTGGAAAAAGCGAATGCGGTCTAGTTGGCTGAATGAAATAACGTTCTTGTTTGCGTCTTTCTCGACTACGCTGGGTACCTGAGCCTTGATGCATAGCGCCGCGGGAACGCGCCGTCTGCTCGAAAAAGTGCATTAAGGCCCCTACTAATGCAATATGAACCTCTCATTTTGCCATTTCCTCATATGTTTACATATTGATCAATATGTGCTTTTATAGACACACACGCACACACATATGCATGTATGTGTAGGCCTATGTGTGTGTGTGTGTGTGTGTGTGTGTGTACTGTATATATATATATATATACAGACACATATGTCACACATAGGCTACACACACGATCACGCACTACGTGTAATTAAGAGACGCCAGTTAGTCTAACCTCACGTCGTTGGACTTTGGCTGGAAACCAGAGTACCCGGAGAAGAACTGTCTCCGGGATAATAAAAGTTTTCTGATAATCCACACGGAAAGAACGTGCAAACTCTATGAGGTATGAAGAGACAGCCCAACAATACGCCATATATCATATATGTATGTCCATGATTCGTTTTAAAGCCGTTTGAATTTGAAAAAATATACGATTATGGTGCATGTATCATAGGTGTATCAGGCACGTGCGACGAACCGTGTCCAAGCGTGGCATTACTGAGCCCCTGGCTCGTGTCGTAACATGAAACTCCTCGTGTTTCTTTGTGAGGGGTTCTGAAAACACTCACCATAAAAATAATACTAATTGTGTCATGCTAGATCTATTTCCGTTTAATGGAAGCAATTCTGTAGAAAATTACTTTAAATGCGTTTCTGATTGCACTCACATCAACTCCACAAACAAAGAACAGCATCGGTTCAGCAGTGGAAGCAATTGGTTGCATTTATTGATTTAAAAATACATATCAACATTTTCCCATAATCAAACACCAACATTAGTGAAAACCGCACATTTTGTGATTTACACACTGAACTTGACGCAAAAAGTGTATGTTTTCGCATGGTTCCGTACTTCTATAGGATTTTACTGAGTTTGACGGCCCTTACAAAAGCACTAATTGATATGACTACTTGAACGTTCGGTTATTGCGGAAATACACTTTTCATTAGTCAACAAGTGTATTTAGGGACAACAGGTTGTGGGGAAACGTAACATCTATAAGTTGGACAACGCCATTTTGCTGTCGAGAAAAGACCATCGCTTTGCCACCAGATGGAGTATGTAGTTCAGTTTTTCTATTGCATTTGTCTTGTTGAACTTCACATACTGTATCAGCGTGTTCACATTTTCACTATTGCAAATATTTGCTGTGAGGCCATTTACTTTCGCTAATCCTGTTTACTAACTCTTGTTAAGAACGCTGCACTCAAATGGCAATAAAGTAATTCCTAATAGCAAAACCTTCCTTATACTTAGGAACCATTAGTACGAAAGCTTGTTTGTCTCTAATGCTGAGTTTCTTTTTCACACGAGATGACAGATATAGGCTATCAAACGCTAGTGTATTTATCAAAGCAAATATGTCTTATTAAAAATTAATATTTCAGCCAAAATAAATGATGCACACTAAAAGCAGCTCACAGTCAGTATAAACTATAATCAGATTAAAGGCTATCGCGGACATTGTGGTCGTTTCGTAATCATATGCTCTCCAAGTCCCTCTTTGCAGCCCACTTCTGTTTTAACCGGGCGTTTTATGATCTCAGCTGCGGGCAGGACGGACTTCTTCCTTAGACACGGAGATGGATTTAGGTAATAATGCTATTCTGCAGAAATGTTCAGCGGCTTAGAGTAGGTGTAGCTTTCGAGCATCGGACTTCCCCACATCAGAGATCAGGGTTTAAGGGGGGGACATCACATTTCCTGCGTCGCCCTCAGATAATCGCCGGCGATACAGTGGTGCGCCTGTAAGGTCTCTCTCGTGCTGAACTGACAGCTGTAAAAAACTGGGAGTGGAGATTTTGAGGGCACAACGCCCGTTTTAGGATCAGTATTAACCGCAAGTGTCAGTCTATCTTATCGGAGAGCTATTGCAAATTTTCAATTCAGCAAACTCGCCGGAATGAATCTTTTCTGGAGCTTGCAGTATGAAAAGGATTAAACAACTGAAATATCCATTTAAAATCTCCCCATGACGCAGTTAAATGACAGAAATCCTGCTGTTCTATTTAAAAAGCTGAAAAAAAATTAAAAGGATGTTGTCCAGGATTTCCCAAGGAAAAAAACACAATTCGACATGGCTGTTTTTGATGTGATGTGGAAATTATTAAACTAATTAAATGAACTCATTCGCTCTGGATGCAATGCTGTAAACAACGGAATTTCACATGTAAGTATTTTTTCAGTATGTTTGGGACCGTAATCTGTTTTATTGTTCTGTATAACTATTCGCACCCGAAGTTTTTTACAATTAAAATGCATTAGTAAACATCCAGAGGACCAGAAATTAATGTCGCAGATCCTTTTTGCAAGGTATATTTTAATAAAATAAACTAATATTTCCGAGTTTACGCTCAGTGCGTTATGGTCAGGACAAGAGTTAAAAACAATGTTTGCCGTATATATGTGGTAGGCTATAAAGTTTACTTTCATTTAGTTGGTACTTTAAAACTTGTTTCATGTCTAATACATATAGGAATGATTTTATGTCAAGCACGTTAAATGGCATGACATACGGCTACAGAAACACTAATGCGCAATAAATTTGAACCAAATAGTGTAGATAAAAATTATTAAGGAAAAAGACAACGTGGCGGATTTCCCCGTATTATAATTATCATGATTATTGTTGTTTTTGTTGTTGTTGTTGTTGAATTCTGTAATAATCATGAGGTAAACAGTAATCTGGCACAGACTTTCACGATAAACCTCGTTTATTTGGAAGCGCTTACAGAAAACCAACTTCACGGCGTGCACGACGCTGTCCGAGGTGCTGAAACTGGCGGATATCAAACTATTTTCTGGGGCACCCGTAACGCTAACAAAATGGCTCTGTAATAGTGCAGAAACTGACCGCTGCGCTCCATAAAAAGGGAGAAAAGCTTTTGGGAATAAAACATGTTCAAATGGACTTTGTTCAAATAATTCTATATGCGGACATATCTGTGTGGATTAAAACACTGCTTCAATTAAATGACTGTGCAATTCTCCGACTGCTATTTTTATCAATTCACAAAGGGACGCTAGATTTTAAATGGACTGCCACGTTTGAGCAGATTAAAAAAAAAGTCGTGAAGTAAAACACCGATAATAGCATGCGATACGTATGAAATAACAGTATATGAGAATACCGCTGTGGCTTAGCTGCCGAGCCAAACGGTCTTAAAGGGTCTGGAATCAGAGCCTGATTCCCCCCAGATGAAGCCCAAAAAGGACATGTAATACATTAGCTTTGATGATGTCTACTGGCTGACATAAATGTGAAACAGGCCACCTCTGCGATAGGCAATAAGAGTCATACGGCGCACCCACTTTGAAATTACAAAATACAATGCCATTTGCATCATAATATCACCAAAATATATATTTGTCATTTATGTTTATGCTTGAAAGTTAATTTTCTAGCAGCCAAACAGAACTGATATTGATATATTTGTCTTGTAAAGTGCTAATATCGATTACATTTTTTACTTAAAGTTATGTCTTATGTACATATCATATATATGTAAGGTATATCATATATGAATTAAATTAAAATGTAACTGTGCAAGTCTGAGGCTTAGCTCCATGAAGCCTGCACTTAAATCCCAGCAGCTGAGCGAGACCTAACGCTGTGCTGTTTGAACTGATCTTGTGCTGTGTGCATTAGACTGCACACACTGTCACATGATGTCGTGCCCTTTGTCGGTGATTCTGGAATGTTTGTCCCTTGAGGTCACAAGTGGAATGCGGAATGCTGCAGCATGTCCCCCAAGCTAGTCCATGAGATCTTACTCGCACGCGAACCACTCACAGCCCAGTTCCACAGAACTGTAATACATAGCGTACACTTCATAATTGCTCCTAATATATCAAGTAGGACACTACTGGAAATTACTTTTTTTTTGGGGGGGGGGGGGGGGGGGGGGGCTGGGGGGGTGTTCATTTTTTTTTTTTTTTTAAAAAAAAAAAAAAAAT